TCTGAATGATAGTGGTATTTACTGGACTTCCTTGTAAGCGTATGGATATGATCCTGTCACTCACGATGTTGTACTTCAAGATGGATCTAGAAATAACTTTTTTTACTATAAAGGCCACCCCGTTTCTGGAGATGACCATATGATAATAGATGTAGCACTATTTTAAAAGCATTACAAAAGTTTTCATTCAGCTTCTCTAAGATCCCACCCTTGTCCTATACTATGCTCAGGAATCTTAGCCGATAGATACAAAACCTCAAGGTCAAAAGTTTCCTTTCTAACTCACTAGAAAACGGCCTATTTATGCATAACTAGAAGAATTGTTTTAAATACAGACAGATAAGAGCCTCTATTCCATGAGGCAGCACCAGTTAACATATCCCACACTTCGATGAATCTCTCATAAAACCACCTTGTTTTTCGGCTGACAATTATAGCTGTTTACACTCCAGTTCTCAGTCTGCTGGGTGTTACTTGGATCCATTCACCCATGCCAAGGGCTGCTGTCATTTAACACAGAAAGACTCAGACATTAGATTGGGGGAAGCTCTCTCTTTGCTCCAGCTGCTAAATCCTGAAGGTGCTATTTACTCTCCAGTAAATGAGGACATGGAAACTGCCTCTGGTACAAGACCTTGTCCCAGCAAACACCGTACTTGTCCTCTGGTGAGCAATTGTTGTTGCTAGGTGCCACTGAATTAGCTCCCACTCATAGCTACCCTGAGTCAAAGTACCACAGGTCCAAATTCTACCTGGTCCTGTGTTTTCCTCTCCATCTCCCCGTGCTCAATCCCGTTGTTTCACTCTCTATCAATGCATTTCATTGATGATCTTCTCCTTCACTGACTCTACTTTTCTAAACATGATGTCCTTTTCCAAGAACTTGTCCCTTCTGATAACATGCTCAAAGTATATGAGATGAAATCTCATCACCTTTGCCGCTAAGCAGCATTCTGGATAAACTTCTTCCAAGATTAGATCTGAAGCAACAGGTTCTGGGATCACCCAGGTGTGAGTTTAAGAGTCCCCAAGAAAAGCCAGGACAACCCCGAGAAAGCTGGCTCCCACAAAAATCAGGTTTTCCTCTTTTCTTCCTTCTCCCTCTGATTACAAGTCATTAAGACATTTGACACATGACCATCATGGTCCCAGAGGAAATCATTTACACAAGAAATATTTCATAAGAGCTGACCATGCACCCGCTGTTATGGGGAGACACAAAGATGTTGCTGCTTGAAGTCATAGCCTATCAAGCTAGACATGAGTTATCAGAAGGTATTAGAGGCTTTAAATGGCTCTGGAAATACTGAACCCTTTTCAAGAGGCATCTCTGAAGCCTTTCAGAGAATTCTGACCCAAGCAAGGCTTTTTGTAGATGAAGCAGACGTGTCAGATCCAACTCAGGAGGCCCAGCAGCAGTCCTCATGCTCCCCAGAACTGGGCCTGGCAATTGCATTTAGGGATGTTAGTTGATTAAGACAGAAACAGCTTGGGAACATTTTAAAAGCCCCTTGTGGTGCTCCTTAGGCGCAGGGTCCCACTGAAAAATATTTCTGGAAATCGAATTAGAATGTGCCCTAAGAGCAGGTCAAGAAACATTCCATAAAGTAGAAAAGGGGTCTGCTGAGAACACAGTCCCCTTCTTCACTACTCTGACACCTTCCTCATTACTTTGCAAAGGCAGCGGCATAGCTATCTGAAAATACTCTCAGAGCAGACAAAACAAGAGAGGAATGCTCATTTTGAGAGCCTGAGCACCCATGAATAGAAACAATGACGGGGTGAGGGTGATGCAGCTCTCCCCATCCTACCCTCATTACATGGGTGAAAACACACAGTCTCTTCACCAGGCCCCTGGGATCTCGAAGGATCAAGGGGAAAAATCAATATTCTTTGCTTCCCCTCAGAGTCAGCTATTCTAATCCTTAGACTGAAGAGTATTTGGTAAATAATTCTTAAAAACAACTGCAAACACTACCCTCCTTTAAGCCTTTCTAGGGAATCAATGTTGGGTTAGTGTGGGTTTTTTCTTTAGTCTATTTTAATTTCATTTCTAAGGGTTTGATATTCAAATCAAGGTATGAATCCTAGAGGAACACTATTTACAGATTGCTGTATTTGAAGAGTTAAAGCCTCAGACTGAAAGAGGTCTCCACTACAAATGCTATAATCTCTCAGCTCCCACTGCTGTGGATTTGCCAAGCAAATCAGGGTGAAATGGAACAGAAAATCACACAGCACACTTCCAGACCACAACTCAAGTTCTTGAATTTGGGTTTTAGTTCCAGACGAATATGCTCATTTTAATTGCCCTTCAGGGGCTCCAAGAATGTCTGAATTGTAGAAAAGCTAGGAAACACAGTTTGCAGAAGGGAGCTGCTTTTGTATTTAATTCTGTGATGGGAATGTTTCAGTCCATACCTGTAATCATAGCAGGGGGCTCACAGGGCCCCTCCAAAGATAACAGACTATCTAATCACCACATGCTCCTCTGTGAGGCTGTAGAGTCAGCTCTAGGGGTGTCCAAGTAATAGCTTTCCCTGTGGAGCCCCACCTTCCTCCATAGCAACCAAAGAGAAAGTCAGTGTGTCTTTCCAAGAGGCAGCCTTGAGCTACTGAAAAGGGAGGTGAGGTGAGATTCTGCTGACATCTTCATTTCACTCCATCAGCGAGTTCTTCCTGCTTTGGAAAAATCCACAGTACTCACCCAGAAGTCCTGAAAACCTAGTAGGCAACTGAAACCCAACCTTTACTCTCTCAAAGTTCATACCTGATATGAGATAAGAAGTGGCCCGATTAGAACCAATATGTGTGACTCCCAGGCCTGAACACTGACAACAAGCAGATTCAGGGTGACATTTAGCCTCAATCCACCAGGGAAACACCCATCATGTTTTCTCTGATAATTCTTCTTAGTATTCAGATACTCTAGCCAAGTATAAGATATAAACCACCATTCTGGGAATAACAAAAGGGGGAAAGTATTTTCTACAAAGTGAGCCCTTGCAAAAAAAAAATCACTAAGGCTATGACTTAAATACTAAATCTAAAATTCATTAATAAAAACTAGGAAAAACTTAAAATCATCTCATTGTCATGAAAATGAACAAACAGTACAAAACAAAGAGAATGGATTATCTCTTATTGAGGCACTTTCCCTAAAAGCAGGCAGAGCTAAACCTGGAAGAAATGCAGATACCAAATGTGGTTCTTCGACTTAATAAAGAGCAGAGATGAATGAAAAGGGAGGCACTGAGTTAAAAGGGATGCTTGGGACTCACTAAAACCTTATAGAAATGTTCTTTGTAAAGTATAAACTCACAGCAAGGAAGGGGATAAAGGGAGTCATCAGAAGAGAAAAGTATGGAGCAAATGTATGGTCATCGATGGCCAGGGTGAAAGATGCCACAACCTGGATGGCCCAAGTTCAAGGAAAGAGTCCACCAGTCCCACAGAACGCCAGAGGCTCAGAGCTCAAATACACAATGCATAGCAAAGAGCCAGATTTAGCTTGGGGCTGGAACAGAGAGATTTGTTCAAAGTTTCCTTAGGAAGGATCCATCCCTCCCCCTTCCCACACATAGCAAGGAGCAGGTTCATACTGGTGCTGTGGTTTCTAGTACCTTTTTTAAAAAAAACTTGGCACATCATCCATTGTATTTCTCCTGAGACAGCTACTCGTGTTTGAAATGTTCTCTCTCTAGAGATTAGAATCAGAGAATGTGAGGTTCGAAGGGACCTCAGAGCTCACCCAATCCAACCCACTGATTTTTCCAGATGGGGAAAATGAAGCAAAAACGGCTTGCCCTAATTTATTCAGTAGTAGAGTATGGACTAATCCTTGATCTTCCCTCTAAGGTTTCTGTGGGGATGGGGGAAGTCTCCGAAGTGGCCCTGTCTGCTGTCCAAGGTGAGGCAGAGATACCTTCTGAGCGGTGAATGCACGTGTGTTGATTGTCACTCAGGAAAAATCCCTCCTTGCAGCGGCATTCGTAGCTCCCCATGACGTTGACACAGGTGTGCTGGCAGCCACCATTGTTCTCCAGGCACTCGTCCACATCTGGAAGGAGAAAAAGATCCACCATGGCTTTTGGGACTCTTTGAACATCCTATTCAGCCCAGATGTTCAGGGGCTCCTGATAAGCAGGGATGAGGACCCCTCTCCAGCTCCTTTGTATCACATAGCTCCCAGAATCCCAGCACACTGGGCCCACAGAAGATTGACCCAGCCCTCGTGGGTCCCTCTGAGGTAGGAGCTCACATTCCTAGGTCTCCACATAAACACAAGAGAAGCCGTTCAGTAAACATCTTCTGACCACTTCTCCTTCCAAAGCACTGTGCAAAAGGAGGTAGAAAAGCACAGAATGGGTAAGGTAGAATTTCTCCCCAAAGTATGCCCTTCAACAGAGAAAAGGAGACAAATACAGGGATAGGGGGACACAAAGAAAATAAGTCACGCCTAGCTGTGGGTAATCAGGATAGGTTGTATGGAAAATCTGGTGAAAGACAGACTTTTAAGGATGTCTTTGATTATAAATCAGGCAAAAGGATTCTAGGCAGAAGACAATGTGAACCATAACACAGAGGCTGGGATGCAAGGAGTACGTATATTCAGATAACAGTGAGTCATTCAATTTGGCTGGAGCACAAGGCACATGTAGGGAAGTTACAGGCGATAAAGTTGAGAAGAAAGATTAGGGTCACACTGCAGGGGACTTTGAGTATCAGTCAAAGTTCCTACTTAATTTGGAAAGCATTTGTAAACCCCTAGAGCAGGAGATAAGCTCTGATGCTCAATTTAGGGAAATAAGGTAGCAACTGAAAAGACACAGAAAAAAATGAAGACACTGAAAACATGGGAGTCCTGCTTCATAAACATGCAAGAAACAGTTGTTGGGACCAGACCTGGAGCTTAGCAGTGGGATTGCCCAGGAAAGGCAAGATTTATAAATAGAAAAGAAAAAAATAATTTAAAGTCCTGTGTTTTGGTGTCTGCAAGGTTTGGACTCTGTGAGCAGTGTGGTGGGATATTGTTAAGTTATCAGATACTCACACCAAAACCTTCTGGCTGCAAACAAGAATGGTGCTATGTACAAAAATGAAGGTTAAGATATGTTTGACCCCAGTAAAGGCAGGGAGTTGATGCTCCAGGGCTGAGGGAAATCTGAGGCAGTTAGTTGGTTGGAAGAGAATCTGATCTTGTAAGCACAGCTTGGAAACATCAGAGAGGAAGAGGAGATGGATTGATTCAGTGACTGGGGTAATGGGGATAGGTGTGTCAGAGCCAATAAGATTGGCACAGGATAGAGCAGCATTTAGGGCTGTTGTACATAGGGTCACTATGAGTTGCAGGCAACTTGACGGCACATAACAACAACAACAATAAAGTGATGGATGAAGATGAGACAGCCAAGGGCAGGAGTGTAGGAAGGTTGAAAAAGGGAGCAGGGAGGAGACAAACAGAAGAATTCTGGAAGATGCCTAGGTCTTGAGACTTGAAGCCTCGCGGAAGGAGCTGTCAGAAACCAGGCAGGAGGAAAGCCTTTCCCAATTGGTCTTCCATCATGATCCCACACTGACCATAGGGGACCTTCCACTGTACCTTATACAGACTACTTCATTGCATTCTCAAAATGTTACCCATCTCCACTAGACTGCAAGCTCCTTGAGGTCAGACCTGGTTGTACTTAGACAAGCCCAAGGACACAGCAGTCACTCATATTCTATTCAGCAAATGAACAAATAAGCAGGTGAGCACAGCATCACAAGGGTCAAAGCAGAGGAAACTTGCAGCAAAGTCTCAGACACAACAAAGGCTCCAGGAGAAGGCTGCTATGAAAGCAATTAATTTTCTCCAGTCTAATTTCTCATGGCCTATCACTAGCTCCTGGGCACATCTGTAACAAGAAAATTCACATTTAAATACCTGTTATCTGGTTTCAAGCTTTAGATCTTACAGTCATCTGTCCTCCCACGCTCCCAAGCAAATGCCTAACTAAACTGATGGGACTTGAGCCATCCCCTAAAATCTAACAAACGTGCCCTTCTCTGTGCCAAAGGGTATAAAGGAAGCACATTCCTGAGGAGGAGTCACACTGGAACACACCAGGCCTAGACGTTCCACAGTGAGGAGTCGAGGAGAACAGGAGAGGGCTCTTTCTTGAATACTAAACGCTGTACCAGTTTGGAGTAAAGGCATAGCCCTCTGTGAGCTGATATACCCTTATTCCACACTTAACCCACAATTCCTTTTCTTCAAAGCAATTAAAGATGTCATTAAGATAGGTGACACACTGTGACTAGATAAATTTAAAAATATATCATCTGACAAGGGATTCATCTCTAAAATTCATATAAAATGCTAATACTTTACTTTTTTTTTTTTATTTTGTGTGCGTGTACCATCAAATCAGATCTGACTGGTACAGGAGGATATTGCTCCTCCTTTTCCGGCAGAGCATCTGGTGGATTCAAACCGTGTACCTCTGAGATTGCAGTGCAGCTTCTTGCCACTAGGCCACCAGAGCTCCCCTTAAAATGCTAATACTTTAACAACACCACATCCAAATTACAGTCAGAAGACACAGATAAACACTTCACCAAAGAAGTCTTTCTGATGGCCAAGATATATGAAGAAATGCTCCAGATCATTAGTGATTAGAGAGATTTAAATGAGGACAATGAAATATCTCTTTATCCCAACAACAAGAGCAAAGTTCAAGAAAATAGCTAACAGTAAAAGCTGTAGATGCTGGTGGGAATGTAACAAAGTGCAACCACGATGGAAGGCAGTTTGGTACTTCCTTACAATGGTGGGAATAGAAATATCATTTAATGCAGAAATCCTACTACTAGATACATCTCAAGGAAATCAAAGCTGTAATATACATTGACATATCCATATCCATGTTTAGTGCAGCATTATTTATAATAACAAAGCATTGGAAACAACACATCAAGAGAAACTACAGTATATTCACACCATGGAGTGTTATATATCGCTAAAAAATATTCAAGATTAATGAAATATTGCACAACATGGATGGCTCTGGAACAAATTATGCTGAGTAGCATAAATTAGTCACAAAGTAACAACTATAGTATAAGACCACAAAGATTAAAAACTATGGAAAGGTTTATACACAAATACAATGAATCTTAGATGGTTAACAAGGATGAGAAGGGGGATAAAATTAATAAATAGATAAGCTGGGTGAAATAAAAGACACTCTAAAAATTTTAAAAATAAAAAGCACTATATAATAAAGAGTTTATTAGATATTAGAATTCATTACATTAATCAATTATAATTAATATAAAAATATGAATAACTGACTAAAAAATCTGTAGGATTTATGAATTTTTACTCAAATGTTTTCCATTAAAAAAAGTGAGTGTGTGTGTGTGTGTGTGT